CTCTTCATCTTCCTTTTAGCTGATTAAAATCCTCTATCTCTTTCTGTATTGAGAAATACCATCAGTCTATATTCAAATGATAATGCTCTTCTATCTTTTTGTGTAATTAAAAATACTCCCTGATAAATATGCCCTGCATAGTCTATATGCAATTGTTTGTTTTTCTTTCCAAGCAGCTGGATACCTTACCTGTTTTGCTGGTTTATATTTTTCTACGTAGAAATGCTGCTCTTAAAGATTCACTCCATTTTCAGAAGTCTAGGTGATCCCCAAAAGAGGGTCTTCATGTTAATTATATTAAAATAAAAGCTAGCTAAATAGCTAGCTATTGAAATAGCTTTGAAATAAATTCCCTCCTCCTGTGTGCCCCCACATCAAAACCCCATACATTTGCTTAGTCCTTTGCAGGCAGAAACCATAGGTTTTTGCAGTTCACTTTTTGCAAATGTGAGTGCTCTATTTATTTCTAATTATACTTTTAAACTTGAAGCCCATTGATACAAGCTGCTGAACTCTTCATTTTCCTTGCCTTTTTTTCTTTTTTTAATATTTTTTTTACTGCAGATAGTGCCTGGCCCTGATTTAAGATAAAGTAGTGCCAATCATAGTTAATTCGTTGTATTCAGAGCACTGTTCTAAGACACTCATCCCCAAAGTGTATATGTTTATTTTTAAAGGAGTATCTGTGTTTGTAGTCTGTACTCTGATGCAAAAGTAGTTGAGTTCGTTTTAAATATGTTAGCTTTGAAACCAGAAGCCTAGTAACACGATTCATGTAAAATACTTGGCTTTTGTATCAAGATAGTTTCCCAAGTAAGTTAATTCAGGAGGTAGCTACTGCTATCTATATGGTATACTGCAAACTGCAGTTATATGTGATAAAGTCCACTGCTTGGCTGTCAGTTTGTGTTAACCTTTGAAAATAAAGAAATCATCCTTAGCTCAAGAAGGTCCTGAACCACAAATCATAGATATACCAGGCAAGTTTTGTCAAATGTTTATTTTTATTTTAAACTCTTTCTTAGATATGCACCGTTGGTCACTGTCAAAATCAGTACATTGGGCTTGATGTAGCTTTTGTCTTACCCTTTTTCTAAAAATATTTTGCATTGCTTGGACTTTATTCAGGTATTAATCCACACTACAAAACTCTTAAGGTGCTAATGGTATAAGGGAAAATGAACATCCTGTTCACAGGAGGAGGAAAATTCAGTCAGATCAAAATCTAACACTCAAATAAGCCAGAAGTGTGTTCCCCTTTGGAAAAAAAAGAAGAAACAAGTTTAGCACATTCTCCATACTTGGGATATATATTTGTTATGAGAAAGATTTTAAAGAACAAGAATAGTTATTCAGAACTTGATATCTTAAAGCACCTCCTAAATAGAAGATACTGAATTTTAACCTGTGTTAGTGCAATTGCCTACCTGGCATGTAGTGAAACACAAAAAGGATCGATAGTTAGTGAGCAGGGGAAAAAAAAGAGCTAAAACTTATTTCTGAACTTGTAGTTCATTAGTACTAATTCTAACTTTCTTCATATCAAGGGTGCTAGCTTGTCCCATACATGTATATATTTATAAAAAGCACATGTATTACTTACATCTTTTCCTACCCATAATACAGGAAATGTGTAAGCACTTCACCCATCCTGGACTCAACAGGACTACTTCTCCACTTACATCTATTACTTACATTCTTAGCAGTATTATAGGCTTGGGGCCTGAGACTGTAAGGTCTGAGACAAGGTTTTATGCTTATTATGGTAGCCATTTCTAAGAATCCAGTGATTAAACTTATAAACTAAATAGTTTAAATTTTGTTCTGTATTGTTTCTATACAACAGGTGGGCTCAAATCTGAATTCAAGTGTCATCTTATCTTTAAAATTTGAATTTCAGAGGCAGAGCATACCGAGATACAATCTGTATAGCTCAGGTCTTTTACAAATATGAAATGAGGCAATAGATACTTAAGACATTTTCAGCCCTTAGCTTCTTATTGTTTGGTAATGAAAATGAAAATGAAGTCATTAACATCTCTTTCTAATCAGCTAATTGCTGCTGCAGCATTATGAGTCATATCTAACACTGAGCTACTTTTTTAAAAAGAGTTGTTATGGTGGTAATAAAAAGTATGAGATCGACAGTCCTGCAGGTCTGATTCTATTTACCCACAGAATATAGGGAAAAGGAATAAAAGCTTAGGATTAATTCTGTGGGATAAAAATATGAACTGTGCGTTCTTCAAACTTCTTGAGCTCTCTGCTGAAATTGCATATGAAGGTGATGGTTTCAGATATTGACCCTGTCTGCTCTAACTGCATTGTAACACTAGTGCACTGTATAAGCCACTGAATAGCCAACAGTGACAGCATTTAATCATCAGATATCTGATCTAGTCTGTAACTGGAAACTTGCATGAGAAGTTCCCTTACTTCCAATACTCTGAACCTTCCAGATTTTCCCTCTTAAAAGAACGTTTATTGATATAAAAAAGTTGGCATACAGCTCTGCCTGCAGAACTTGCGCAGGCCCAAAAGTCAGCATGAAACAGCATTCCTCTTGCAGGTATGCATTTTTCTTCAATTTGTTCTCTGTTTGAATGTGCCAAAGTGCCATGTTAGCATTTCATGCCTAAAGGATAATAGCAATTTAGGTTCAGAAGTCTATTTATACCTTATTAAAGGATTTAGATCAGGTGCCTTTTGATTATACAGTGATATTCAGGAAGATCCTTTTAATGCAGAAGCAGGACAAGCTGCTGCTAACAAGCAGTGCTAAATCTTAAAACTACTACTTACATTGCAGAATTCCAAAACATAAAATATGAAACAACCGTTGCTTTTGGGAAGGATGTAGAATGGAGAAAATACTATGCTTAACACTGGGTGGCTCCGTATCTGTTGAAATCCATGGGCTTTTTGCCTCCACTTTTGCCCCCGCTTGCCCTTTTCTTTGCCTTCCCTTTTGCCTTTCCTCTTTTTTTATTTCATGAGAGTTCTTGCTACTTGTAAAGGTGAAGCAGTCACACTGACACTTTGGGAGGATATTTTAAGCCTTTTTAGTTACATAAGTTTTTTTGCATTTTTATCTGGTGTAATTTAGCACAGCTGTATGTGGACACACCCACTACCTCTCAAAGTGTAATCTTTCTGACAGTTAAGTGACATTTTTCCATTTTCTTGTGTAATGAATAATTTACAGTATGGGCCTTGAAAGAATCTACACTCATATTTAAATACCTGTAAAATTTACAGATTCACTTTTTATTTTGAAAGCTCTAAGGCAATGCAAAGCATTTCACTCGCTCCACTTCCTTTTTTTTTCTGTCTATCTAAAGAGATTATAATCTACAGATTATAAACATTCTTTATAAAATATAGCTCAATCAACAACTTAACGTAAAGATAGGTATTTTGGCAAGGCTAGTTGGTGGTTCTGCTGTCAAATTTCATGAGGTGCAATGGAGGAAATAAAGAGAGAAAGTATGCTTAATCCAAGTTTATCATCTGTAATATTTGTAAGGAGGAGATATATATATATATGTACACACACACACACACACACACACACACACATATATTTATATATGTATCTTGAGAGAGATATAGATACATGAATTTGAGGCTCTGAGTAGTCTGAATCTTACAAGTCTAGAAGCCATTTATGCATTTAATATTTATTGTTTTATAGTTTATGAAGTTAGATTACATTATCTCAGTGAGACTGGGAGCAGAAAAGCTAGTTTAAGGTTGAAAAGTTGTACAGTTGAGAAATACAACAAGCATGTAAATACAAGAGAGCTAGTGAGAAGAGAGAGCGTCCAAATCCCATTTTGCCAGAGGGTGCAGTCAGACAAAACAAGGAAACAAGCTCTCAGAGGGTCATTCCAGCTTGGAGACGAGGAGACAGTGGTCTGAGTTGAGGGAGGAAGAAAGAGAGAAAGAGAGAGGCACGCTGTAGACAAAACGAGGGATGTAGCTCAGGAAATACCTCAGGATGTATGAAAAAAGGGATGATGTGAGGAAGACTACTCTGTTGGTCATCCAAGTCATCTGAGACAGCCTCGTTGTTAGATCTAGTCTAGAAGTACATTTTTCATGCCTCATGCTGGATTGAGGATTATTTGGGGAAGGTAGAGGACATTGGTAAGTATTGCTGTTCAACATTTGACTATTACCGTGGTATGCAGTAACTAACTTTGTTATCAGACAAGACTTAAAGATAGAAACTAGCAAATCTTTAAGTGGTCTGACAAGCAAGGCTATGCCTCATCAAGGCATTGGTTTTTGTTTTTGTTTTTTTAAGCAGCATGAAGTGACACCCTCTCAATATGCCTCTTACCAGGCGTGAGCTGTGGGATTCAGAATAAAGGGAGCATGTTCTTCACAGTCCGTTGTAAAGTACGGGCTTGGAACTAGAACATAATCATGTCTGTACAGATCAACATTTCATTGCACTCAGGAGCCAGTACTCAACTAATGTGCTGAGAAGGGCATGTGAAAATGGTTAATGACTTAGAGCCTCTCATTGTACCAATTTATCACAATTTCTGAATATGAAAGTATTCAGTCTCCATATCTGACCTTCCTGAAAATTGTTGTCAGGGTAATGGGATACTCTGTAGTTCAGCAGGGCCAAATCTTCAGATTGTATGCACCTGCCTAACGCCATTGAAGTCAGTGGAGCTACACAGGTGTATAGTAAATTAAGATGTCATGTAATATTTTATGCTACTTAGTAAAGTCAGACTCAAGATCTGTTTAAAATTTTTACTAAAACATCATACATAACTATACTTCCAGAATGCCACTGTGATGCAAAGAAAACTATTTTTCCTAAATATATATCTTTTTAAAATGGTGTCATTTCTGTGCAGTACTGTTTCTGACAAGTTGATTTATTATTTTAAACTAATGGTATGGCATATGCCATACTACCATCACTGTCTAATCACACAGCTCAGGATAAGTGATTATGTTTTCATTGATTCGTATAGGTAACTATCTCCTTCCAGCTTTGGAGCTCCATCATTCTTGTCAACATCTGTAAGTGCAGCTCAGAATATGATAGCGCCCACAGCTTAATAGAGGGTAAGTACCATTTTAATGTGTCAGACAGCAATATGTTTTAGTAACCGGTCATTAAATTTTAATATGTTAAACTCAAAATACACTTGAAATATGTTGAGTATTCACATATGTTGAGTTATTCACACAAACCTCCAAGATAAATATTTTTTGAGCTTCTAATACGATACAGCATATTTAAGAAAAGGTCCTTTAGAAGTGATCTTGACACCTCAGTGCTATGAAGCTTTACAATACAGGTCATGAGTGTTGTAAGTCACACAGTCTGATTTGAGCAATGTGACTTAGAAAATGTTTTTTTCAGACTGGGTGCTCTCAGTAGATCGTTGTTATGCAGCCAGTAAATGATCTGGTTTTCAAGTACTAGCTGCCCAGGACTATATCTAGCCTGCTTTTGAGGTTCCTTTTACTGAAGGTAGCCCATACAGGAAAGCAAGATCTTAGGGTGCCGTAGGTCATCCAGTGTGCACATCACATACGATGACAGCTGTCTCATAAGCCCTTGCAGGCTCTTCCATTAAGAGCCTTTTCACACTTGTCTGTATCATAATCCAACATATCCCCATGAGAGTATCTTACCATTACTTGAAAGTATCTCAGAACAGATTAAAAGAAATTTGAAAAGCTGTGCCAGAGACAGATCCTAATTCCTGGGCTATCAATCAGTCTTCCCAGCACCTCTGCCAGGTTATGTTAGCAGCTCTACCAGGCAGTTTAGTTAGAGTGCTGCTTGAATACCCCGTGAAGCCAGTCTGTACACTTCATTAGGCAGCCTGGCAGGACAAAGTGGGAAGGCACTGAGAGACCCGAGTTATCCTTGTACTTCTCTCCTGTTTTGCCAAATAGGCCATGGTCACAGTGACTCCCAGGTATTTTCCAGGAGACCCTGGAGACTGTTAGGGAATCCAAACCTAAGGGTGCCCCCTAGCACTGGGAAACAGCATGATGCGTAGAAACTGGCCATTCCTGAGGAAGTCAAATAGCAAATACTAGGTTTTACAGTAAACATTTAACAGTTTTTAGCATCACTATCTACATCTCAGGGCTTGTAAAGAAAAATGAGAACGTTCTCTAGTATTGACGTTGTATAGGAAATAAAGTGTCAAAAGTTATAAAGCAGAATTTTAACCCTATAGTTTTCACTACTTCAACAAAGTCACCACAGGAACTATAATGATAACAAATGGGCATAAGGTGAGTTTTCTCTCTCATCTGAAAGAGGTGAATCAGTCTGCTAATGTTTATTCATGTCCTAACCAGTTTACCAGTAATATTTTTTTGCTTTTGTTACCGGTGTGATGGTATCTGAATATCTCAGAAGTTTTAAATGTAAGGGGAAGAAAATTAGTTTTCTTAGCGCAGCTTTTTTAGTGGGGAATCAGGCTTGCCCAACCTTAGCCTTGGCATTTGTGACAAAATAGGAAGCTGAAGACTAGTTTTGTCCAAAACCAGTCTGAACTTCAGATGGTCTTCCAAATCCAAATGAACTGGTAATTCTTAAGGCTATCAGTCTTACAGGGGATTTCAGTGATACTCAGAAATAAAGAAAAACAATTTTAAAGAATCTAATGAAGACATCTTGAATTTTTATTAGGATCACTATCTTTGACTTGATATCTCTTGAATGAATAATACCAGATTGGTGTTAGAAGTTACAGAATCACAGAATCACAGAATCGTTTAGGTTGGAAGGGACCTCTGGAGATGATCTAGTCCAACCTCCCTGCTCAAGCAGGGTCACCTAGAGCATATTTCCCAGGATCACATCACACACAAAGTTCCCTTTGCAATAAGAATAATGTTTTTTAAATTGACACTTACAGGCCTGGAATAGGTCTCAGCCGCATGTCTAAATCCAAGTTCTTGTTATCTTTAAAGTGTAAGTTTGTAATCATTCATGATTTTGTAATGAAGACTATTTTTTATGCAGCATACAGTCTGATAGGTAAAAGCAGAAAGGATAGGATGAGTTAGAAAGTAGTAAGTTAGGGTTCATAAAAGAAAATCCAGAATGGTTTCTTTTGGCTGACAACCTTATATAAACATTTCAGAAATAAGAAATAAACGCTTCAAGGTCCAGGTGGAAAGCTTACTCTAAATTTCAGTGCACCCAACTTAACCTCTCAGAATTCTGCAAGCTTTGGAATACATTTTGGACAGGCAACATATGATGAAAATGAAATTTCAGTCAAAGCATATCACTGCTCATATTTTAAGTGAAGTAAGGAATGAGTTGCTCAGAGGTATACATTTTCACAATAAAATGATTAACGTATTTTCCACTCCGCTGTGGGAGTTACACCTTGTACCATCATAGTTGTTATACTAAACGCTGTGGATCTTTCTTTAACAGAAAAGTTAACTTTTGCTAGAAGTCTGTAACATCTCATTGTACATTAATTTACTGGCTTCTTTTAAAAGAACAGCACAGCCTCTATCATGTTTATTACTTCTTAAGAATGACATCAAGAAAGGCTTCTTCTGAATTAAAGGCAACTTTGGAGGTACCTTGGTAATTTGGTTGCTTGGAGGGTAGCTCAGTTTCTTTTATTTGGAGCTGAACATAGTGATTAGAGAGACATGTTCTTTCCGAGCTAGACTATGGAAAAAGTGGCCAAGATCGAAATCATAAGCAACCAAATTACTGTTTTATCCTAATCTATCTTTTACTTTTTCCTAATCATCCTAATCTATCTTTTACTTTTTCCTGATCATGACTCAGTAAGTTCCTCATACTTTTTAGCTAGTTTAGATTGAGATAAAAACTTTGTGTGGACTTTGACTAGATTGCAGAAAAAAGATCTCTTCAGTCTTCAAAAAAATCTAAAAAGAGCCAGATATTGACTCTAATCAGGGTACTTATCTCTTTTTCTACTCTAGATTGTACAAAAAATGACTTAAACGTCTGTATGTCTGTTTTCTCAGTGGAAAAATAGCCACAGGAGTATTTTCATTTCTACATGATGAATATTTGAGAAGTATAATACATATGGAACATATTAAAATCATATTTTCTGAAAATAGTTCTCTTTATTGGCAAAGTTGCACTGCTAATTGTCTAAAAGCAACAGAGAAGTTGCTTTTGAACAGAGAAGTAATATTGCAGATCATAGCTTGGTTGCTTAACCCATTTGTGCTTGTGCAATTTTAAAGTAACACAAATTTTCAAAAAGTGAATACTCTAGAAAATGACTAGCTAACAAGAAAAAAAGAAAAGGAAAAAATTCTGCATTTTATTCAGAATGATAAACTGCACTTCTCCGGCTAATTTTTTGAAAGATTCAGTTCGAGTTTAATCATAAAATGTCAATGTAATAACCCTTTGCTCTAAGTTACCTTTTGGGTTGTAAGTAAGAATTTCCCAGTGATTATAACCTTGGCGGGCATGAGGAGGAAACTTAACTAAGTTCTCCCGCAAATCTGAATTTAAAGTGTTGAAAAAAAAAATATATATATATATATACTTTGTGTTTAAATTTATAACAGCAGCATTCTTCTATTGAGGCTGAAGAGATGCTTTTGACAGGAAGCTTGAAATCTCTTCTTCCCCATGCACTAAGAAGAGTAATTCGATGCAACAGACTTAGTATTAGTAATACTTCTGGAATGGCAGAAGGTAAGTAAATTTAACAGCTCAGAGTGTAAAAGTGGCTCCATTTTAGATTCATGGCTGTTTTTCTTTTTTGTTTCTAAAGGAAAGTAGGAGTATTGAAAGCACTGAAGCAAAACAGGAGAAAAAGTCGAGTTGCCTTACATTCTTAAGTCACTTGGGCGTTTTTGAAATCACATTGTAAGCACCTGAGGTTGTGTTCTTTAATCACAAGGCTACTTTAAAAAAATTTTTTCATCTTACCTCTGTAAAGTACATGGATTTTGTTTTCAAAACTGCCAAGTATCCCACAGCTCACCAGTTATGCCAGTGAGAAGTTATGGATGCAGAAAACATTTGAAAAATCTTTAACCAAATCTGGCTTCTCTTGCATGCATATATTATCACATTTATAAGATGACATACTGTGTTCTTCACAGGAACCTTGTTTAACTTAGTGCCTAGCATACATTTTGGGAGAAGAACTAGAGGTACGTAATTGTGGAAGCAGTTTCCTGCTTCATTTGTTGCAGAAGTTGGACATTATTAACTCAGTGAGGCTTGGAGTTACAGGGGAGAGGGTAAGGATAGCTTTACCCTTCGGTAACTGAATACCTTTCTGGAGAATTGACTTCGTCTTGTGTCTCTCATAGCTGGACTTCTACAGAAAGAGAGAATTTTATGTCATCATTCTGATCAACTTTAAAATATATCTTAATACAAATCTACTGTGGCAAATAACTGATCAACAGAGCTGCGTACAGTGGCTTTACTATACCATAAGAACTTCAAGGCTCATTCTATAGAATTGCAATGAGTCTTATAATTATGGTTGCCTTTTCCATCAGTACAGACATTGAAAAATACTAATGAAAAATACTTTATAATGTTAATAATCTTCAATTTTAAATGTGTGCACTGATGTTAGTTTTAAACATGGTGTTTTCAACATTTGAAAAAACTGTTTTACATATAAAACAACTTTAAACTTTTAACCATGAGCATACTCTTCCATTACATGATTCCATTATATCTTTTCATGTGTAAAGAAAGTAAGGGTGGTTCTTAGGAGAAGTGATTAGTTGTCTAGGAGTTATAACCAAGCTTCCTAACGCTATAGTATACCTGGAAGTTGCCTACAGATTCAGTATATCAAATGTGACTAGTATTTTAAATTCAGTGGTGCCTGAGTTGAATGCATGATCTAAAACCATAGTTTCAGAAATTGTTGAATATCATCAGCAAAGTAGAAAGTGCCTATGGATTTCAGATGGGTGGCAGGGAATGAGGTTGAGGAGTAACTGAATATAGTATTTTATTCAATGTTAAATTTAATATGTTTATTTAACAAAAATGTCTTTCTATATTTAGCAAGAAACTATTTCTGTATTTAGTAACTTTTGTTAGTAATAAAATGAATTTTTGTGCTGAACACTCCCAGGAGAGCAGTTTGTGGGCACTTTCCGTATGCAAATATGTGCTTACCTCAGTTTAAGCCTTTGCTTTGCTTTTTTCCTTCAGGAATAGGACTTTGTCTTTGGGGTTCTTGGACAATTTTGATTAAGAATACGATATTAAAATGAATACTGATTTCTCCAGGCTTTTGAAGTAGGTTATTGATTTCAACTAAATGATTGCCTCTTAGATGACAGATTACTGTGATTTTTAGGAATGTGATAGATTCTACCCAGCCTCTTACTTGCCTATCTGATATCAGACACAGCAATAATTTTTCAAGACAGTACAAACAGGGGAGTTAAGGACTGTTAGTTTATATTTTTATACACTACAGACTGATAATGCTCCAAATTTCCTCTCGGTGCTTGGTCACCTAGTATTTATTGCAGAACAAGTAAAATGGCTTTGGTATTAATGACTATTGTTTAGATTCTTTTTTTTTTTTTTTTCTAAATAAATGAATATGAGCTTTATCATTGGTAATCACTGCAAAGCTGCTGATGTTTTAGAAGGTATTGTGTAGTAGTAGTCTTTTAAATTAGTAGTCAACTTTAAATTAAAAGTTGATTCTAAAGTGAAGAAAGTGTAACAGGTCGGTTCACTTCACTCTTTTAAATTAGAAGTAGTTGAGATGAATAAACTTTTCCCTGTGACACTGAATCTCAGCCTTGCGCTGTAATTTTATCTTTTAAATTGCAGCCTAAAGTAAAATCCCATAGCCGATTAAAACTCTCAAAAATTGGCAACATAATGACAGTATACCAGGAGTTTACTGATGGGATGGCATTAAATAAAAATGATGTAAGGAAGTGGGGTATACAGTAGCCTTTTTTCCTCTCTGTGCTAAAATTTGCACCAAAATAAAACATTTTCCTATAGAATATTAATATCCCAGGTTCTTTATTAAATTTCTGTTTAGCTCAAAGCAGTTGTGCTGTTCTATTTTGGCACAGAAATGTTTATTAAAGGAATTATACCGTCTTCAGATTCTAGTACTGCCCATGCTTGTCAGTCGTTTTAGCCAGGAACAATTTCACAAACAGAGTACATCTAGTTGTGATTTTAAAGATATTTCAAACAGTTGCAGTGCAATTTGATTACAGAGCTTTGAATTTAAAATTTACGTCAGCTAATATTTTTATGGAGCTGTTTACAGGACATTTATGCTAACCTCTATGTTATTGCTTCATAAATAAAGAGTTGAATTAATAACCAGTTATTCCACCTTCCACAATTTCAGGCTATAAACAGGCAAATGTTGTGATTTTGCACAAATCGCTTGCTGATGACTTTGAAAAGTTTTGCCGTGCAAACAAAGGGCCCCTGCCACTGCTGTACAGAAGTAAGCCAGGTGATTGGAAATGCCCTTCTCTGGGTAGTGATTCTGATATCAGGTAAATATGGAGTTCTCAAAGCTCTGAAATGAAGGCTGATGGTGGTTAGAAGAAATCATTGCTCCAGAGAATAGCCTAATCATACCATTGTACGTTTTGAATAAGATTCCTTTGGGGAATTCTTTACGTTTGAATTGAATCCATGCATGAGTGTAACAGAATAGAAGCAGACTGATCATCTTGTTCTTGAGAAACTTATCATAATTGTCAATATTACAATGCAAAAGTGAAATTTTTTTTAATTTATAAAATCTTGCTGTCTGAGCCAGCAGAATTAAATAATAGTGTTTTACGTCTCTTTTATTTAGTAGTAACGCAGTCAGGGTGATGTTTATAGTGTCTCTGGGATTTAAGAGAGGTAATCCTGGAGCAAACACTAAAAGCAAGACTTAAAACAGCTCCCTAATTTTTTAATCATTCAGACAAAATATAAGGGACATCTACCTATAAAACCTAGGTAGATGGTACAGACTTCTAACATGTTCAGTGTGCTGGCTTGTTTTTGTGAAGGAGATGTTTTGGGATTTTGTGTGTGTATGTTTGTTTCATGGTCACTCAGAAAAAAAAAGGATGAAATAGCGTACATCTTGTGCTTTGATACTGGATTAATGTCAATTCAAACAATTTTTGTCATGCATCTTACTTTAAAAAAGTATGATAAAGCTGTGATAACTTTTTCCCCCCCCCACTAGAACTGACTGCCTACAGTACAGGTTATATGAGAATGGAGCTTGTACTGGATCTCTAAAAAGTCTAAAGGAGTATACTGAACAACTTAAGGACATGGTGACTTTCTATTTAGGCTGCAGCTTCTCTTTTGAAAAAGCACTACAGAATGCTGGCATTGCTGTAAGAAACGTTGAGCAAAAATGTAACGTAAGCATGTACAAGGTAAAAAAAAAATATATATATATGTATGTATTTACACACATACATACACATAAACAATTTGTCATAGCCTTGTCTTTGAGTATTTATCCATATTCACATTATGTGCATGTGCTTATCACCCAAAATCAGGGCTTTTTTTCCTCAACCCTCATAGTACCTTTAGGAGTGCATTAGTGCCAAATGCATGAATATATAGGGTAAAATATGCCCAGCATCAGTTCAGTGCTTCTCTCAACTTCCTGTGGAGCTGACCTGGTTTGTTATTCAATTACAGTCACAAAATTTTTCCTTGTGCCGTGGTAGCCATTTCTTTAGGATTCCTTTTCTATTTCAATTGATGACCCAAGTAGAGTTCTGTCCATCACCTTTCTACATATCCCTCTCTCCACACCAGCTCCAGCATCCAGGAGGAGTGATTTTTGTGATCCAGGATAGAAGGGATTTCTTCTGCATGTATGAAAGTCATATTTTGGATTTTTCCTACAGCTGTAGAGCCTTTAAACTGCGTATTTGCTATGAAGCGACGCCAAAATGTCTAGGCCTTTGGGACAGAAAATGTTTTTCCCCAAAAGTTAAGAGATCCTCCATGGCATTTAAGATTTTGTGCTCGGAGAGTATATAGTGTAGATTCTAGTGTAGGTGAAAATCTTGGTGTAATTCTGGCACCAGTACGTAGACCCTTAACATTAAGAACACTTTTAAGTACATCTGCATGCTTTCTTCATAAAGTTCGTAGGCTCTTCTTCTAAACAAAGGCTTTTGTTGTTTTCAGTGTTATGATTTGACAATCTTTTTGCAATATTGCTTGTCAAAACAAAGAAGGAACAAATGCATCTTATACTGAGTCCTTCTACCGAGCTTAAAAAAAAAAAAAGACTATGTATCTGTGTATAACATTACAGAATTAAGAGAATATCAGTGTATAGCCCTTACACTGTCCATTTCCTTAGTTACAAATATAGTAGTTTTTTGTAATAAAAATTTCGTCCTAAACATTTCCTCTGCAGCTCTTGAGCTCTACATATCTTGCTTATTTTCAAATGCAACTTGGATATCAAGCATTTTATTCTAAAAAGCCATTCCGCTTTTATTTCTGAGTAGAAAAGACACTTCAGTATCCCAGCCAATAAGGATGATGAATTCCGTAGATCCTTTTCTATAGGCACAAAAGATTTTGTATCTATGGAACTTCCAGGCTGCTTCTGTAGAAGTGGGTACCGCCAACTACCAAGAATAGGGAGCATCGTAATTTCCCTGAATTGCGGTACAGAGGATTGTACTGCAATTGAGGATAGATTCAGACCAAATAGATTTGTCACTGTGTTACTTTTTGTTAGCTTTTCCCTCTCCATATAGGCAGCACAGGATTGTTTTCTGACAATATTAAGAACATACTGAGCTCACCATGCTGTATGCACTGAAACAAGAATTTAAACCTTAGCACATGGATACAATTTTATAATGATTATATAAAGAAGCTCAAAGGTGGAATGGTTGGCCTCTGCACTGCTGAATCTTACACATACACAAATAATTGCCTGAGGTGCTACATGAAAGGCTTTTTAAAAAGAGAATTATAAATGAATGTTAGTATGCAGCCTTTCTAAATTCAAATACAGCACAAATTTAAAACAAAGTATTATTTAATATTCCTGCTAACACCTTGGTTTTTTTTTTTAAACTATCAGACAGCTGTGCCTTGCTACAGTGTTTCTACTTTTTGCTGCAACTTAGTAGTCACAATGAGACCTATTCCTGCAAACAAATTAGAAGCAGCTGTGCTAGCAACCGCTGAATTAGAAGAATCCCATGGAGCACCAGTTCACATGGGTAACCCTGGTCAGTGTTTTTATGTTTTATTCTGCATGTGCTCTGTTGTGTATACAATGTGGAGGGGGACAGCAGCAGGGGAAGTAGATAGCTGCACTAGTAAATTCCCTATGTTTTAATCCTTTTTAATGGTCCAAAACATGAATGGAAAAAATGTAGGTTTTTAATTAGCTGAACACAGAATTCCTGGATAAAAGCTAGATGCCTGATGTAGATAAAGCAATTTAGTGGAGGGGTGTTTTTGGTAATTAGTCTAACCACATTTTTCAAGTGTATTTCATTTATGTGAATATTTGCTCATTCTCAAAGATCCTAGTGAAAGGGTAGCAGTGATTGACAGCATGAGGAGAAGTATGTGCGGATGCTTTTTATGTCTTCACTTAGTTATAACTGTGAAAGTAAATACTGCATTACTTTAAAATATTGAAATAGAATACCTTGATCACACCACTTAGGACAGAAAAAAATGCATAGGGAGATTAGAAATATGACAAGAATGATTAAAAAAATCCAGCTCAAACAAATATAAGCTTATTCTCTGCAGGAGAAAACTGAAAGAATGATAAAATAGGAGGTTGATGTTTAGGCTGGAGGCAGAGGGAAGGAGGATAAGGAAACCTGTCAGATGAAGACAGAAGGGGGAAAGGTTTTTTTTTATTGCAGTGACAGAAATTTGTCAAATAGCAGTCTGATGTGCTGCATGCACAGAAGGATCACATTGCAGAACATGGAAGGGGATGGCACTGGTAATGCTACCCCCCAATAATATATCTGATCTGAGTTCTTAGATCCGAGAAAACTAGTCATAAGTCGTAAGTTTGACTAGAGCAACAAGATGATTGGGGAAATGAGGGTCTCCCCTTAAAAAGGGTAAATATGTATACAGATTATATAAATTCTGGAAAAGGTGGTTGAATGTTAGTGTCTGAAGAATGTAAAATGAAAGGAAGAGAACATGTGCTTAGATTGACCCAGAATACTGTAAGTAGGTGTTGAAATAAAGCAAAAGTCAACTCAGTGAAAGCTGGATAAGAGTGAGATCTAGTTATCTAACCCTGTGAGGTGAAAGAGAGATTCCTTGTTTCTCTAGCTGAAGAGTGTATGAAGTTAAAGCAATAGAAAACATATTCTAGGAAGAACCTATTTTTCATTGCAGTCATTTATTCTTGTTTGCCAGTGTTACGCATATAATTCTTCTTTTGATGGAGAAAATATTTATCTTGGCCAGGGGGGAGAAGAAAAAAAAAAAAAATCAGCATACACACCTATCTTGTATTTTGCAGCAAAAGACAGTGAATATGTTTTTACTGATCTTGTCATGTCCAAAAAAGGAAAAACAAGACAGCTCATGTTCTGTGGATATACACCCATAGGCAACCAAATATGCCAGTTAAGCTAGAATTATAGCAGTGGCAAAGCCTGCTGATTGTGATTAAGTGAGGTGTGGGGTCTCCCCCCCATTTATAATGTTACTGCTTAATTGGAATCTACCATGATTTTATTGTTAATCAATGATAGGTTTGTTGGGAATACAAGATCTTTCCAAACCAGACTATGGAGATCCAGTTCATCTTCATGCTGATGACATTCCAGTGTTTTGGGCCTGTGGAGTAACAGGAGTAGAAGCAATCATCAACTGCCGTATGTATTATCATTGGAGACTTTAATTATCCTTCAATTTTATTAATTTTATTTATTTGTTTAAAAACATGTGCACTGAATGAGTTGACTGATTTTCAGGCTTGATTTCCATTGCTCTGCCCTAGAGTTAGCTATTGTTTATTGTGGGATAGAGTTCCACATCAGAGGAACTGTATCTCACAGGAAGTTCTTACTGAAATAATATAATTTTTGTGCGATTATTTTCATGGCAGAAACTTGAAGCTCTGGCAGCGTAAAAGCATCTTTTCTGAGCATTACTAAAAGCTAGAAGTTTAAAGGCTTTCATTTTAAAGCTTTTTCCTTTTGCAATATTATTTTTTATTACACTACAGTAAGACAATAATACAGGAAAAAACAAAGCAGACAAATCTTTCTGTTTTGTCAACAACTAGTGAATTGATTGACCTGGAAAAAGAGTTTGCAATGTCTCTGTATGCCTTTGAACGTTCAGCTTTTGTTCCAAAAACATGAAATAAGTGTGACGCGCTATATAATGGAGGCTCTGTCCTCTGCAAGGATCTGTCCCGCACTTTATGCAGTTGTTCATAACAGAAATGAGTGCAAAGAGGAAAAAATGCAACTAAGCCATAATGACAGCATTATTTACTGTTCTCAATGACTAATGCAGAATGAAGCCTCATATATTTTAGTTCTTACTGAAAAAAGAAGCTTAATAATCATACAGTACAGTTGGGAGAACCTTGGTTTGTCCTGCTGTCCTTGCAGGATCTGCAACAACCTTGTTGTTCCTTACATATGTTTAGGATAATTGCTTTCATCACCTCCTGTAAATAGGTTCAACAACTAGGAGCAGAGGCTGCTTTTCCTTTCTTACATAAATGTCTTATCTCCAGTCCCAGCTCCGAGGTGAAAAGCAGACTCTTTCCTGGGCTTCCCAGCGGTTTTATTCACCTTCTTTATGCGGCCTGTGTTGCAACCAAAGGAAAGAGAAGGGATCTCCACAGACAGTTTGCCAGCCTCCAAAGGCTGCTGTCTTTGCCAGGAACTGGCTGTAACTTTTGTCAATTTCTCCATTTTCTGAATTAAAAAGTTGACATTAACAGATTCTGAGAACTTGTTGGACAGTCTGTGTTCTGCTATGCTCCTTTTTCAGCTAGATGGTTGAAATCTTACCTTACCACTTGTTCCTATACTTCAAACGAATCTGCTAGTTTCTCACAAGAAGTACTGCCTACTTGCTGTTAGCTGTGGTGAAGTATATTAAACTTCAGAATCCATCCCTTCCCCACCATACACACACTACTGTTGAACTACTAGCCATAGACTCCCAACAGGCAGTTTCAGGCAGAAACTGATCCACAGGAAGTTCCACCTAAACCTGAGGAAAAACTTCTTCACTGAGAGGGTGACAGAGCACTGGAAGAGGTTGCCCAGAGAGGTAGTGGAGTCTCCTTCCCTGGAGATATTCAAAACCCGTCTGGACGTGATCCTGGGCAGTATGCTCTAGAGGACCCTGCTTGAGCAGGGAGGTTGGACTAGATGATCTCCAGAGGTCCCTTCCAACCTCAGCCATTCTGTGATTCTGTAACAGATCTAGCACAAAAAAAAACCCAGTACCCCACAAGACTTGAACACACACACTCCCTTCTCCCCATCCTAAACAAGCAATAGGCTTTGTTGCTTATACTGATCATGCAATTTATCCAGCAACATATCTATATTTTTTGGCAAATATAATGTAGATCGTTCATTAAGACTTCCAAGTCCCTTTTTCCCCCTGTACTTCTAGTATCAATATAAAGAAAAAAATATATATATATTTTCAGCATAGGGACCTGTTATGTTGTCAGGTCTAAATAAGCTTATTCACCTGGTTTTTATATGGTACTGAGATTGTCTTTGCTAAGGCTTACTGGTGAGCTTTTGTCATTAATCCTCGCCAACTGCAGTTCATAGCTCTTCTAGCTAGGTAGGCAAGACTCAGTGCAAAAAAGCTATTCTCTATTTTCTTAAGTTGATAAAGGACTACTCCTACATAGCAGGCAGTAATTGACAATTTTGTCATATCACTGTATTAAAAAAGAATATTCACGTGTGCAGAGACACTATATCTTCCAGCAAAGTTCTAGAAACTAGAAAATAATTTTTTTTCCTGCAAACTGTACCACTAACACACTGCAGACATTTATGGCTTAACTTGTTCTTATGTCAACGCTCTCATTCTTTTACGCTGTACTTCAAACATGTAGAGCCCAGTTCTCAGAGCTGCCAATTCCTGATTGACTTCGTTGGAGGCCAGCGCTACTCAGTTTCAAACCTGCCTCAAGCTCATACCCAAGGGGATACTTTAGCAAATCTGACCTCAGCCATCTACATAATGTTTTTAAAAGTGAAAATATATTTACAAATGTATATGTACACATTTCTTTCACCAAGTCCATTGGCTGCTGCATTGTGTCTTAGACTATCATCCATTTTATGATACAAGCACCATCATGCAGAGAGTCTATATATTTTTTTAAATCACATAGCTTTCCATGATTTTATTTTTATCATTCTGATATTTTAATATATTACAGTAACAATGTGTTTAGTTGAAGTTTTTACACCCTTTTTAGGATCTCCACTAGCTTTTACTCATTCTCCTGGCTGCATGTTCATTACCGACCTAAAGAATGATGACGTCACAGTCGGGTCCTCAGGAGAAGTCCCACAAGTCCATTGCATTTCTCAAGATCCTTTGCATTACAGTATTGTATCAGCAGAAGCAGCACAAAAGATAAAGACATTAGAAAGCCTAATTGGAATAGATCCAGGTAAAAAACAAGAACTCTTCCTTTGATGGTTTTGTTATGAGGTAAATGTGATCTACATATGATTTAGATATTCACCAAGTTAAAAAATGCAGTAAGAATCTAAATGCAATGTTAAGATGAAAGAAATCCTTTGTGGAATACACAGTGCATTAATATAGTTAGGTCTTACTTTTTCATTACCATATTTAATATCAGAGTCTACCCATTCATTTAAAAAGGTTTTGGCCAATGGAGCATCAAATTTTGATGACTGTGTACTTCCACTCATAGGGCATGGAAGTATCAGTGCTTCCAGCAGACTGGAGAGTTCGCAAGAAAATAATTGTTACTGAATAAAACTGAAATTGAATAGATAAACTGAAGGACACCTCAGCATGTTGACAGCAGCTAAGCAAGTATTCACTGTTGAATGAATAGCAAATTTCTTCACATATGTTCATGGCTACTGTACTCCTACTAGAAAATTCTAGTAGTTGCATATGCCTTTCAAACATCCCTCTTTGATGGTGGAGTTACATCAAGCTCTGCTTACATATTTGTCACTGGGGTGATGCCCGATGGACCAAAGTGACCCGATTACCTTAGAAGGTTGAAAGGTAGGGTTGCATGCATGCACAAGAGAAATGACAGGGAAAAATAAAGGAATAATAAGATCAAAAGGCAAATTGATTAGTGCAACTGTTCATAAAATACACATTGAATTATTTCCCTCTATCTTTTATAACTTTTAATCTCGGTTTCCTGTAAGTTTTCTGAAATCCTTTGCAGGCACTAGTAGAAAACAGCTTATTCCCAGCTCTCCCAAACTCAGGGTTTGGACACTGCGTATGTGTTTCGGGTTTCTTTATTTTTACTCACCAGGCCTCTCCTTTTCCCACTCTCTGGAGCTCAGCATGGCATAATGCCAGGCTCTGTAGAAATACAGGACCTAACTTAGGAGTTAGCTCATTCTTACTGCTAAAGCAGAGTAGCTACTTTAGTATATAATACTTGATCTCAGTTAATATACCCCACTTCTGAGTCTAACCTTCCCTGCGTCTGTTACTTAAGTTTTGTTCAGAACTTGCTTCTGTAGCCACATGGCAGTGCATTATGCATCATATCTCTCTAGAGTTAATTAGGACTGATGTTTACAGGTTTCTGACTTTTACACCAGCACCTCCTGGAAAAATTAATTGACTCCAGATGTTTATATTGTTTTTCCCCCCCAGACACTTTTATGACAGTCTTTTAGAATATGTATGGTTAGTTACCCTAGCTCTGTTGCCTCTATATTATGCAGGAGGAAGGGAGGGAGAAACAGAGGGGAAATTGAGGGTGAAAAAGCAAAGGAGAAAAAAAGTTGAGAAGGATGAAGGCATGAGGAGACTAAAAAACAGTAAAGAGGATTTGCCTCTCACTATCAGCCAATGAATATCAGTACATCATTCTGATATTCACCATTTTCCTGAATGATAGCAAGTCTAAAGGACTGCACCATGAACTTGTGTTTCTCAGTGCCAGGAAAGGGAGAGGGAATAGGAATGGTTGGAATAATGAAATACACAGATGGACAATATTGTCCCTTTAGGGACGGACCCAAGAGGAAAGAAATCTGCCAGTAATCACGTATTTCTTAAAGGTCAGATAACATGGCTCTCTACTATATGAAGTATAACAAGATCTTTTAGTAGTCACCTAGATATCACCATAGTAATTGAGTCTGTCGTGTCCTCTGACAACTTGCAATGTCTCTAGTCTCACTTCTGTGGTTAATCATTTTATTAAGTTGAATTTATTTGGGAATTGGCCCTTCCATTAGGGAATAAAGTTAAATAGAGACAACATAAGACTGCTCATTTGAGTCAGCACTGAAACTTCTGTAAAATATGGAAAGCTGTCTAGCTTGAGTAGCTAGACAATTGTCTAGCACAATTATGACCACAGGTCAGAGGAAGAGAGGGTAAAAGGAAGAGAAACAATCTTCAGTAAGCTCTTAAAAATAAAGTAAATTACACCAATACCTAGAAATGGTAGTATAGTAATAATCAATATCCAGTTAACCAAAATTAGCTTTATAACTCGTATCTTACACTTTCCCAGCTTTCCTGAGAAAATGAGTCCAATTCCTGGCTTGACCAGGAATTATTATTTCCTCCCCCCAGCCCCACCACCCATTTTAGGTCATTAAGGTATGCAGATTCACCCAGACAGAAACTTCAAAGGAGAACAATACATTGAGGTGTATTGCTCTCTCTAAAAAAAGTTTCTTTAAAAATACTTTTCTAGGAGACAGGGGTATCATTCATTTACACCACCAGGATGAGCTGCTGAAGTCTTGCCTGTCCATTTCCCATGCTCGATCAGTGCTGATAACAACTGGATTTCCTACCAACTTCACTTACGAGCCACCCGAAGAGAATGATGGGCCCCCAGGAGCCTTTGCTATTGCAGCCATGTTGCAGGCTTTGGAAAAAGATGTTGCCATAGTAACAGATCAGAGAGCCCTGAATCTGAATAAGAAGATTATGGAAGAAGCTATTCAATTAGGTAAGACATACAGTTATGCAAGGAACACAGTTTTTCAGTTTTATCTTGCTAAATCTGAGCCAATGTTTCCTTTAGTGTAATGTCACTTTAGATTAGTTCAGGATTTTACCAAAGCATGAAAAACAAGTGTTCCTCCTCTAAGTATCAGCGTTGTTATGATGTGATTATTTTGTTAAAATCCAGCTGGCGTCACTTTAGGGCTTGCATATCTGGTAGTGATTCTGGATTAGCCGTTTGTGATGACCTCTGGATGGCTGTTCTTGTTCTGATAGACATGTCTTTTTATCCCAAGGTCCCATTTACCAGTACTAACCTATAAACTAGTTTAGCTCAAAGTAAGCATGCAGGGAGTTTATCAGGAACAGAATAGTAAGTACTCAATGTCTGTATACTAACTGTTCTTCCTTAAAACAAAACAACAAAAAAAGGAAAACCGACACCACCAAACACACACCAAAAATGATACATGGTATTCAAATTGTCTTTTTGTTTCCTCTAGGAATCCTGAAGAGACCTATCCCTCTATTGAGTTATCAAAAGGAAAGTAGAGATTCAGCTTTGATGTTTTTGTGCAAGAACGGGAATCGTGGAAGACCTAGGTAATGTTTATTTGTTTTTAAGAGCAGGCAACAGCTCTACTATGTGAAGTTATAATAAAAAGAAAAACAATATTCCAAGAAGATATAATGGTTGCAAGCAAATCCTTGAAAAATGTAAAATCTGGAATGAGTGGAACAGAATTCAAAGTGAAGTGCTGGTATTGAAAAAGTATAGAATTCTATGTTATTCTGGGATTATGTACTTTTAAAGTATAAAAAAAACAAACCACGTACACACAAAGAAACACAATTCGGTGAGATTTACTAAGTTAGATCACATTCCTCAGTTATCAGACTGGAGCCAGTGTAACAAAATCTCAAAGTGTTTTTAATACTCTATAGGTGATTGTCCTACAGTCTGGAGATGGCCAAAGTTGCAGAACTATGCATGCACTTTTGAACATCAGTTTGAATTGTTTGCATATACATTGTTGAATGCACAATGTTGGGCAAAACTTCAGGTTTAAACAAGTGTGTTAAGGTTAATGCACTAGAGGGGTTTCTAAAAAGTTGTAGACACATGTCATTACTTGGTCAGCAATTTACATTTCCTTTAAATAAGCACCTATTGGTCAGTTCTCTTTAATAAAAAGAAAGAAAAAATCCTAGTAGTTGCTTTGTCAATTTATTCCATTCCTATTTCTCTCTACAGGTTAGCTTTAATTTCAGTATGATATTATCTTCAATTTTTATGTGTTGTTTTAAAAAGTTTTTTTTACAGTTATGCACAATATATTTACAGCTGTTTTCTATTTCAGTTGATTCAACAATCTTCAAAAGCTAAGATGACATTTTCTTTAGAGTAGACAACTGCTTAAGGGCTCTTTGGTCATAATAGATATCCACCCACAAAAGCATTAAGTAATTCAGCAGAATTAGTAACCTCTTGTCAGTAAAATTCAACAAATGGAAGCATTGTATATTAAATCTAACATACAGTGCCAGAACTGAAAACTGAAGTTCTACTTAAAACATAACACATCTGCAGTACTTCTGTATACTTTCATAACTAGCAAAGTAGTCATAGACTAACCAAAGAAAAAAAAACTCAGAACACCCCAAAGCCAAAGGCAAACACCAAAAAATTCCTAACTAGATGCAAACAAACACTTTCCAAGCAACATACTTTAAGCAGAGATCGTATTAACACTAATGTGGATTTAAATAGTTATTAAACTGATTTTTTTTTGTTTTGTTTGAATGCTTATTCATGGAGAGCAGCATCCTGAATGGAAAAGTACCTATTTTAACATGAAACAGAGCAAGGCCAGATAGCCAACCTAAAAGACTGCTGAGGGGGCAGGAACTTCTCTGTTTATTGGGAGCAGCTGCAATTTGAAGGAATTGCATCAAAGTTATAAAGAAACTAGACTAACATTTGAAAATAAACTACAGAAAGCTACATTCAGGAATAAATAACAATAATAAAAAGTGTCCAAGTTCTACCTTAGCTCTCAAATGATCAGAAGACAGAAAGCAGTACAACAGGAAAGGCAAACAACAGCAGACTTCATTATTTAAGAGTGAAAGCTTTGACTCCTCTCTTTTAACTAATTTTTCACTCCGTCTCTGACCAGATTTGATCACCTAATAGCAATAGAGCGTGCTGGGATGGCTGCTGATGGCAATTATTACAATGCCAGGAAAGTTAATATTAAACATCTAGTGGATCCCATAGATGAACTATTTTTAGCTGCAAAAACCATTCCCGGAGTTGCAACAACAGGTAGGTGAGAGTTTATGTTATCTTCTCAGCAGCAAGAGAAACGAAAAATGGAAATTCTTTGTGGAAGTGAAATTGAGGAGAAGTCAGGTGCTAAATAACTGCTTTAGGGCTACAGCTGCTTGTCTTTGTTGAATTTAAAGAGACAGTTGCTAGAAAAAAATTACAGGTTTCTATGAAAGAGCAGCCAAAGAAAATGAAGGAGTTGACTTTAGAGTTATTTTAAGGCCAAAAAAAGCTAGCCCAAATATATGTATTGTCTACATGTAAGTGTACATATAGGTACTCACTCCCTAAAATGCAGTTTTGACACTGACATTAAACTCCTTTCTATATTTTATGTATGAAAGGCAGCATATAAAGCAAGCACCTATTGAATGGAAACATTACACATTAAAACATTATAGTGATTTTAATGATTGTTGTACCTGTGTTAAAGCAGCTGCCTAGACAGAATCTTAGGTTACAGAATCACAGAATCGTTTAGGTTGGAAGGGACCTCTGGAGATCATCTAGTCCAACCTCCCTGCTCAAGCAGGGTCACCTAGAGCATATTGCCCAGGATCACATCCAGACGGGTTTTGAATATCTCCAGGGAAGGAGACTCCACTACCTCTCTGGGCAACCTCTTCCAGTGCTCTGTCACCCTCACAGTGAAGAAGTTTTTTCTCAGGTTCAGATGGAACTTCCTGTGGTTCAGTTTCTGCCCATTGCCTCTTGTCCTGTTGCTGGGCACCACGGAGAAGAGGCTGGCCTCATCCCCTTGACACTCCCCCTTCAGATACTTGTACACGTTGATGAGATCCCCTCTCAGTCTTCTCTTCTCCAGGCTGAACAGGCCCAGCTCTCTCAGCCTTTCGTCATAGGAGAGATGTTCCAGTCCCCTCATCCTCTTTGTAGCCCTCCGCTGGACTCTCTCCAGGAGTGCCATGTCTCTCTTGTACTGGGGAGCCCAGAACTGGACCCAGTACTCCAGGTGAGGCCTCAGCAGGGCTGAGTAGAGGGGCAAGATCACCTCCTTCGACCTCCTGGGGTTATATTGCCTTTCAACAGTACATTCTTTTGAGTAGGGATTGTATATTTGCATTTAGTATAATAGGCCCTTCTCTGGCAAAATATAATTTTTTTATTTTTTATAAACTTTAAATGAGTGTGTTGTCATACCTGTTAAAACTACATCAGCATCAACTTATATGTTTGAACAGTGCTTTTGTCAACATGGTGCTCCTTTCCTCCTTTGACAGTCCTTTTTTTCCTGAAAACCTGGTTGTATTTATATTTATAAATATATATGTCACAGATAAAGGATTCCCAGGTAGATATAACATTCTTGTTATACAACATCCTTGTGCAATCAGATGCTTTCTGCTGCATTATGTGGCCCAAAACAAAACTGGGAGCTACATAATGTTTCTAAGCACGTTAAATGGAATTAGAAATAAGCCTCCTTGCCAGACTGATTTCAGGCACATTACAACATGTCTGCTGATCTAGCTATTTTTCTGTTTGCAGTGTTGGAGACCCATTCCTAAGTATTACCAAATGCACTGGAACTTTGACTTCTCAGTAATGATGTTTTTCAAATGTTTTCACAGAATTTTGAGAGCTCCTGCAGAGATAATGCATAGTCTCTTTCAATGTAGTGGAATCTTATTTTAAAGCTGTGTAGCAAAAGAGTTCCCTGGCATTTTTGGTATTATCTTAAAACTTGCAGTATATTTTATTTAGATTGAATGCTAATTTTGGTCCAGTTCCTAAGGAGTAACTTTCAACATCCAAAAAACAGGCACTGTAGATAGCATTCTGTTGGCAATCTCAGCAGAGAAGCTAAGGATTGACTGAGTGAGAGGATAATAACCTCTCTTCATGAAGCTGTTCAGCAGCAGTGCCTCCCAGCCATATGTGCTGCTGTTAACTTCAGTTCCCTAGTCCCTGATTTTAGATTATTGATACAAAGACTTGGTCTCAGTTCTGTTAATAAAAACATCCTAATCTCTTAAAATATCTCTCCAAAGCAGCTTAAAATATATTATTGATTTGGGGGAGTTTGGAGTGTTCTGCATGGTGGGAATCTGAATCTGTTCAGCAGTATCTGGTGCGTTTTAAACAGTATCTGGCTATTCAAATACACTATGAAATGTTATTAATTAAAAATACCAAGATTTTGTAAATACGAGGGAAAGAAGCAGTTGTCCAGAATCACTGTGCCTCACTGTCATGAATTTTTTCTGAATATGTGTTTACATAGAAAAAGATTTAACTAGTTACAAGCTTCAAAAGGCAGTGAAGGTATCTGCTCTGATCTCCTGTGGAATTTGTGCACATCTATGTTGTACACTGGATAACTAAGTGAATAACTATAGAAAAATTGTTTCTTTCCTTCCCTAGTTAAAATGCCTCTTACCTTCAGTTTGCATTCCTTCTATTGCTTATCACACGAACTTTTGTGTGTGACTTTTAATTTGATTAAAATTTCTTTGGGATGCGTGTTGGCTTTTTCAATGTATTTATGCAAAGTCTAGCATAATAGGCAACTAATCTGGGCTATGGCCTTTGCATGTTGTCTCTTATGATGATAATGTATTGCTTCTGATTATGATAAACTTTTCTAGTAAGGCTATCTTTGACTCTTTTTGTGTTAAATAGGAATTTGGAGGTGTATATCTAGTTCCAAGTTCAATGCAAATATTGTACAACACTCATTTGAGTGGAGTAGTTGGATAGCTGTGTAGAATAGGAAAGAATAATAAAAAGGTAAAGTTTTCAGTATTACAGAAGTGTTTATATAGTGTGCTCACCTGCAAGAAGCACTGTTTTAGTAGTTGGACAACGGAAATATTAGAACGTTAGTTCCATGTTAATCACTGTCAAATCTGGCATTTAAAATAACATTAGTGTTATATAAAAATCTGATCTAGGAGCTTGACCACAGACAAATCAGAAACAATACCTATAATGTTATGAATATCAATGTCATAAAAAATGGTGGAGTGATGAGCAGTGACCTTCTGGAATATACAAAATAAGAAGACATGAAAGATTGAGGGTAAAAGGACTCATTTCCAGAAAAGATTGAAATAAAAGACTGAGAGAAGTTACCAAACTCACATACTAATTTTTTCAGCCATCATAGTATTGACACAGCTATATGCTATCTTTTTAGGAGCTAGTGAAAAGTTTTTGAAAGTACTACAGGAAAAAATGTGGTTACACTCGCTTCCTCTTTCATACAAATGATATTTAGCACAGAAGGCTGAAGTTTTCCACATATTTCATTAATGTAGTGTCAGAAACTAATGTAGTCAGTGAAAACTTACATATAAAATCTGACGGAACTATCTATTTTTCCTCTGTCTGTAAAGGACTCAGGCCTTTACGAGAAGTGGATTCATCTTGTCTGGTTTCAGGCATCTATATTTGAGAAGTCAGCCTTAGGAAAAGATGAATTACATGTCTGAAGGGTCTGTTTCTCTCTGCTGACTTAAAAAGAAGTCTGATGAACCCGCTCCTGTAGATGACTGTGTCTTGTTGGGTGAATCTCACTTTGGAAATTCTACAGTGACGTGTAGTCTTCTGTTAAAAGTGTAGAAGAAGAAAAAATAGATAGTCTTTTCCTCTCAATGTGATGCTAATAGGATGCATCTAAAGCAGTAGATCTACTAACTGCATAACCATCCTAGAGACAGAAGTCCCACAAAGACAAGAAAAAGCAAACTAAGGCTGACAAAAGCAACGGATTAGTATGTTTCACTATTAAAGAAACTGTATGTGACCTTTGAAGGATGTTTAAAGGACAGTTCTTTTTAGCCTTTTTAAAGAATATCAACAGCAAAATTTCAGATTTTGAATATAAGAAAAATCAAAGTGTTCAGTGTGGGTTCTTAAAAACCAGCAATAACTATCATATCTATATATGATGATGGAGGCACCATGATTATGTCATTAGCTATTTGTACAGTATTATCAACAAACAGATTTCAGAAAGCACCATTAAATCCCCATGCTGAAATAAAGGTGAGTACCATATTAAGGGAAACAATTCTGAGAAAGAAGGATTATATATTTAATGGCAAAACAGTAAGTACTGTTTGTACTTCTGTAAGTAAGAAGAAAAATATGTCCTAAGCTTGATATGTTCATCAGCAGATTATTCCTGGTTTGTAAAAAGTTTCTTGAGATTTAGCCTTTACAATCCTTACATGTAAGTCATGTCACTCAGCTATACTGAGCTTTGAACAGTTAGACTTTAGCAGCTAGAGACAAAATTGCTGCTGAGATATAGCTTTGAATTTCACTTACAGAAGAAATTCAGTACAGATCTAAATGAAATATTTATGTAGTTACAAAAAATGTTAATTTTTATCAATGTTCAGTGCTTAAAATGTAAATTATAAATACTGTAATTTCTCTCCTGTAACACATGCTACGCATTTGTCACACTTCAAATTCAATGAGGATTTGGCGCTTTTAACTGTACTGCAAATGAACATTCTGTTTCACAACCATTAACTAGTATTTTTCTATAAAAATGTTCAAACTTAAGAAGAAGCCATTTAAACTAACAGGTAAAAGAAAAATATTAATTTCTGTTTAAATAAATTGATTTTGTTGCATCTTTATACACCACACTAATAAGAGACAAATTTGATAAGCTTCCTAAAAGCACAATCCAGTATTCACATAAGGTGTTAGTTTATGTGTTATCCTTATCTCCAAGTCTCTGAATGACACTTGAATTTTATATCCCAGACATAGGGCAGCCCAGGTTTTTTCTGAAATAGGTCCCGTTGATTTTACTGCAATCATTGATATTCTTGATTTTTTGAAAGACAAATATACAGTGTTTCTATTTGACCAACAAAAATCCAGGCTCCATCCAGAATGTATGAACATTTCAAAAAAAAAAAAAAAGAGAGACAGAGAAAGACTTTATTTTTGTCATAAGTAGAAGAAATGAAAACAGTAACAGTACACAGGATTGGGCTCTTTGTACACTGTAGCATAATGACAGTAATCTGTATAAAACAGATTGCCAGTACAGTAAGTCTTACTTCTTCCAAAATCATTACATACATTTTGCATTACTTTCTGCAATAATTTCTACTTTTCATTAGTAGAAATGAACTCACAACAAGTGAAAGTTTTCTATGCTTGCTTTATCATACAATCCAAGGTTAATTTTTCAGCTTCATTTTGGACTCATTTTCTATCTTTTTTTCTCTGTTTCTACTAATTTATTTAATGCATTATCTAGAATACTTGTTTAAGGCCTTCCATAAGCAGTAAGTTTACTACCTTAATTCTTTCTGCTCTTCATGACCATCTGATAAATTCATTTTCTTTTCCCTGCACTGGTATAGAATATATTCTGTATACTTACAAGTTAGCATGTAATAAAGTGATGCTTTCAGCTACTTCTTTATACCTTCTGGTTTTAGACATCTTGACAAAGCGTCTTATATGGAGATATGAACTGTCACGGGGACTCTTGGGAAATACTGGATAGTTATAAATGGATTGCTATATATATGCTGGTTTCATACTCATTTGCTCTTTTCCTCTTCTAATAAAGGTGTTGGAGATGGAGGAAATGAATTAGGAATGGGCAAAGTAAAAGATGCTGTAAAGAAGTACATAAAAAATGGAGATGTTATAGCTTGTGATGTTGAAGCTGATTTTACTATTGTAGCTGGTAAGAGATTTTTTGTGGGAGGAGGAATATTGATGTCTGAGCAGAGAACTGAAAAGAAAGCATCTATGTTACCAAGTAATCTGTATGAGCCTTTCTTTATATGGCCAAGCCATCATTAACAAACAAATCTGTCTCTATTATGTCAGTTTGCTGAATAGTTAATCAACTACAGCTCCAGCAGGAGTAACTGAAAACAGGATATTCAGTCAAGAAAGAGCACTTAATTGGAAATAGTTATGCAACTCCTGAATATTCTTGAAAAATCACGCCTAAAATGAAATACCAAGGAAGACTGCAGAACAGTAGTGTGTTTGAAAATAAAAAAACCATCTATGCGCATACGAATTTGCAGTATAATTGATCAACTTCTGTGACTGTGACCCCATCAGTCCTAAATCAATGTTGCTGCTCTTACATGAGAAGGTGATAAATCTTTTCAACAGCTACTCCAGGACATCTCTACAATCTAAATTTGAATATAACAAAAAAGTTGATTGCTATATAAGAAAATGCTTTCTACCGTAACGTTTTGATCAGCATTAAATAAAATGCATCGTGAAAGAGAGCTATTCCGCAAGGACCAATTTATGAACTGAGTGCTCCCTGTTATACGTAAGCTCAGTGCAAGTGGCTCCCAGATACCTGAAAAAAAAGAGGAGAGTGTCTAGCTTTCTAACACTGCTGATACTAAAAGACTAAATTGTTGGGGAGAGATGGGATTGAGGTGATAATTATATCAACTTCTTATGGCTATATATATACACATATGACCTGCAGTGGCTGTTTTGGAAGTTGTGGTGATTTTTACTTTGAAAGCAGCTGCCACACTGAGAACCTGCAAAGACAAGTGTGGAGGCGAATGTGTTTGGACATGTTTAACTGGGGAAAACTCCATGCACTAAAACCATTTCTACACTTTTTGAAAACTTGGCTACTCTACATCTCTGGCAAAGGTGCCAGGTACAAGTGATAACTTCTCACAGCAAATTTCAAATCTAGCATTCTCCAATGTAACCTTAACAGAGAAGCTATACTAAAAGATAGTATAGACTGATTTGACCACAGCATACTGAAAATTTATGGATGCTCACTCCATCGAATATCTTTCTGTATATTACACTTACTCCAAAGACACATGATCAAGACAATTAGTTTCACCATGGCTTCATATGTCATGAAATAGCTGAATCCTTTAATCAGTCATCATTTCTGATCAGAAGGGAATTCTCTAAACTGTTACAGTGTTCCATTATAAAATCTAACATCAGCAAAAAAATTGCATGGTTTATGATACTTTATCAGAAAGCCTCTTACCTCTGTGCACTTAAAAGTTAAAAGACACTGAGGTCTAACGTGGCTCTCCAAAGTCCATGGGTTTCACATTAAGCCAAGTGGAATTGTTTTATAGACCATGTCCATTTGAGGTTTTGGTTTTGTTGGAAAAATGAACCACAAGCTAAGCTAAAGGGAAACTTGCAGAAATTCTGTGTGAAATACTGGTCTACAACATGCTAAATGAAAACATTTTAATATCTTAAGTGATTATGTATTTCTGAAATAACTTCCAAATTAACATCAACAGTTAATTTATACCCCAGTTCCATTTCACCATCTCTGCTGGAGACTCAGTGCTTAATGACTTATGGAGGTTAGCTATATTTACCATAACTATTATTTTACTTTTTTTTTTTTTTACAGTTTGGTTTCATGGTGACTTTCTTTTGCAGGGGTCTCAAACTGGGGAGGCTATGCCATTGCTTGTGCTCTGTATATTCTCAGCACTTGTGACATACATGATCGCTATCTGAGGAAAGCTGTTGGGTTTCCACAGTTATCTAAGAAGATGGTCTGGCTATCTGCACTTCCATCTGTTACCAAGGTAATTTCTGTAGAGCCAGTGAGCCGAGACTTCCTTGTGACATGTCGGTGGAATCAGTTACCAGCCACTAAATCTTACCCCGCCCAATTCAGTAGCTTAGAGGTCATTACTTGTCTCTTGGTGGCTTTTGGGGATTCATTGTTAACAAGCATCCACACTGTAAGCAGAATAGTCTGTAAAGGATTCAAGGCAGAATGAACATAAAAATCCTCAAAAATGAACTTATGCCTTGTGGTGTGACTTCAAGCATGGAACTGTGGTGCAATTTAATGGGCAATGCAAGAAATTCTGTCTGCTAAAATAGTCTGTTCTTATATAAAAAAATGTGTCAGTTTCAGTGACTGCCAGACTCCTTTCACCAGCATAAAATTCACTTTGAAGTATGTGACTCTGTTTCCTCTGCACACACCAGCTAGTGAGTTCTATGAGTGGTTGGACAAAACCAGTTTAAAAATTTGAAGGGTTCAAAATAAAGAATTCCAAAGTTTCACCAATTTCTTAAGAAATGCAGTGCCAGCATCTTCTATCTTGAAATACAGCCTTACCTCCCTCCTAAATATGATTACGTTGCTAAAAATTGAGCGGTTTTTATGGTGATGCCTGCTAATTAAGTTCAATTTGGAGATCTGCAAAATTTTGCATTGAAATTTAGTATATAAACAAAGTTTACTTGTGCTTAAAGCAGATTAGATTTTTGTCTGCTTTTTTACATAAAAGTCTAAAAGCATATGACCTTCCATGCTAGTTCAGATCAGAGGTCCGTGTAGCTCAGTCTCCTGTCACTGACAGCCCGCTAGCAGATGTTTAGGGTGGAGAGAAGAATAAGACATTTATGGAACTACCCTCTTCCTGCCGCAGCATCAGGGAGTCAAAAGCCAGAGGCTGAAGTAGGCCACTCTGATTAATACCCAGGAAGACACTTAATCTTCATGATTATCAAAGCTATTTGTGAAGCTTTTGATCTTTTGGTCTCCATTTAGTCTTGTAGTATTTTCACAGCTTAACTTTGTGGAAAAAGCACTCTTTTTTAATTGTTGCTGGTTTGATTCCTTATATAAAGCATATATCAGTGAAACGGATCCCAACTTTTAGCACAGCCATAAGTACTTACCCTTTGACTTAACAAAACATATGGCACCTTTCAGGTCCAAAATTAAAGATTAACTACTTTTCACTTTTCAGGTTTTTTCCTGTTACATGTACTTCATTTCCCCTTATATTAATGTACCCTAAAAATTGGAGTGATCACAATTCTTGGTAATGAGATATTGTACTTAAAAGTGATATCATATACATGAAATCCTTCTTGCTTTTGTTTTACTAAATTATCCAGATGGCAATGTTGATAGTGATCCAATAATTGGAAGAGCTATTGAAAGTTCAATAATAAAATCTATTCACATAAAATTAATGAAAACAGTTTTGTGGGAAGAAAGAGAATGACAAATTATCTGACAAGAGGATATGATACCTTTAATTATAAATCACGGAACAGTAAACACTGCAGGAGATTTCCTGAGCTTGAACACATTAGCGTTCACATACTCCATTAGTATAAAAAATAAACAAGGCCATTTATGGTTTCCGTGGCTAGTTTCTGCCCAATGCAGTTTCTTTTAATGCTGTAATGATTACTCTGGTAAGATAAAAAGCACTACCATATCCATCTCAATGTTTATATTCATCTGTTTGTGGAAGAAAAAACCCAAGCATAACTGGAAGGAAGACATTTGAGTGAGTCCCGAAGTCCCACTCAGCTTTCTTATAATGTATTTTATTTTTCTTCTAAAAACGGCATTCCGAATTGTGGAGCCCTCCATTCCCACTCAACAACATAAGTGTTCTAAAGTCATAGATTATTCTTTTATTTATATATTATTATAGTATTATTATAAATAATATATATATTATTATAGATTATTTTATTTATATATCTTTTATATAATATATAACATATATTTTAATAAGGGATACCAAGAGGCATTTGTTCTGTGCTGTGAACTTGATTAGAAAAAAACAATTTGATCTAAACAATCTTTACTTACCTTGCAGCTGTTGAACTGAGTCATGATTATGTCAATTAGTACAATATTGATTTGACTTTTCAATCTTGCTAGTGCTTTTATAGTGAGGTGACTGTAGAGGAATATATTAATTCATTTTATAAGCAAACACAACATCCTACATTCTGCATTTTCTTGCATCTCACAACCAGATTAATGTATTAGTCAGTTGTTTTATTACTGAAGTCATTATTAATGTTAAAAATGAACTGTATAATACTTATTTTGGAACTATAACGTATAAGAATATGAATTTCTATATAAATGAACAATATATAAAGATCTGACATTTGTTTTAGAATTCTTCGTTAGTTTTGTCATTCACAAGGGAGTTTTCCTGAATAAAGAACAAATTATCAAGTTCTTTTGCTATTAATTTGAATCTTTTTTGCTCCTCCCCAACATAATTACTTGCTAAACAGAGATCTGTGAGTGAATTGCACCACTTTAGAACTGAGGAAGCATAGTGTACATTGTGCCTACTCCTTACAAATGGAAACAATAAAATTTGATGGTAGAATGCAATTTATCAGACAGTATTACAATATTAAGCAAACACATCTTTTTTTCCCCTTGTAAGCAGGTCAGAGATCTCTAATGTGTAAACATTTATGAGGAACAACCAAAAATAAGGAAGATGTTTTGCTTATTCAGTTCAAGTTTCTCTTCTGTGACATGAGGGAACTAATTTGCCACTTTACATGTAGGAAGTCTCAGTGCCAAGAAAAATCTCTTTCATGTAGAAAGGTCAGATGCTTATATTTACAGAAGGATCATTCATATTACATAAGCTGAAGTACGTTTATAATTTTATAAATGACAAATGGCACTTTATGCGGTGTATCCAAATAATTTCCCTAAATAGCTGTATCATTACAGTGTGGTTGCGTGACCTCAAGATTGACACCATGTAACTGTTCATAGTTTTTCTTTAATAGAAAAGCGATGGTTTTTTAAACTTGTTATGCTTATTAATGATGATGCATTACCAGCAAATATGAGACAGATCTTTATAGTGTGCATTCAGAAAGCAGGTTGCCAGCTTGTAATAAAAACTCCACTAATTGACCATGCAAGGTATGGTTTAATTCTTCCAGAAGTGTTTATATTTTCACTATATACAATAGTATGTAAAATACATGTCAAACTTCCAGTCTAAAGCTATTGGAGTCTGTATGGTTTAGAAGCCTTTCCAGAAAAAAACCTAAGCATTTTAATAAGAGGATATATTAGACATTTTACCTTTAAAAAATGTTTGGTCGTTTATTTTTTTCAAGGAGCTAAAGGACTTTGTTAGGTGTCATTGAGCAGAAATATCAAACAAGAAAGAATTCCAAGCTATAGGCCTGTCTGTCAAGGAAATTGCTACTTGTCATTAGTAGCAATTTCCATCAAAGCAGGAGCTCACACATATAGAAATAAAAACAGTAGAACAAAGACCAGAAAAGGCATTCCTAGCAAAGACAGAAACAAAAAGACATGTCTGTGAGTATTTAAAAAGTATTATGTAAATTACAGCAGGGTGGGCAGGGGAGGGAAGCTAAGATGTGACTAGGCTTTTCCTTCTTCTTAACTTTTTATTAACAAAATTAAAGAAATAAATTCTCTCTATAGTAAATGCTAAGGCAGTATAAAGAATTTTCATGTGTACATTTAATGTCAAATGAAAAGCAGAGTAGCTAGAATAACATTTTGAATCTGTCTCCAGAATTCTCAAAATTACTAAAAGAACAGATAATTTATGCACTGGTGCCTTAAAAGGCTTTTTGTCTTAATTCCCATAGAAAAATTGAATGTGTCGTTATTGCAGCACAGTGTTCTCTCTCTCTCTCTATATATATATATCTATACACACACACATATATATTTACGTATACATGGAAAAAAAGGCATATGTGATCACATTACCTGCCTTTTTGTCAGTATCCCCTACAAGCAGCTTGTTTGAAATTGAGCAGCAAGTTCAAAATTTGACAGAAGGGGAGAAGTTTCAAAATTTTGAGATTCTGGCAAATTTCACGAAAATGAGTACCTAGAGAGAAGAGAGACCCTTTTTAATGCTGCTACTGAAGCTGTGGCTTTTCAAAAAAACATTTAGAAGCAAACCTGCTGGACTTTTACTCTATTGGAAACCAGACTCTTCTAATTTCTCTGCTCATAGAATTACTCTTTTTTCCAGACCTGGTTTTGCCCCATCCTTTTATCCTGCAATGCTAACTGGCCTGTATCTCTAAATCAAGGATTTTATTCCTTCTGTGTACATTAACAGCTCAACTTGGAACATGCTTTATCTGCTTACATTACTATTTGGCAGGAAAAAATAACTGTTATAGACATGAAATTGGGTTGCTGTTCTAAACAAAGGAAATTATATGCTATTTCAGATAATTCCAAAAAATAGGAATTTCAGGGTTTCCTTTTCACTCATCTGTTAAGCAACCAGAATTCTCATAAAAATCAGCAGAAACAGGACACAGAATAAAAGGCGGGTTGGAATCCCGCCAATCCCTTCCCAGGTTGGAAGGAAAGTAGTTGTGCAGCCCATTCTGGTACACTCTGTAACCCTTTTTTCTTGATGTATCCTTCTTTCCTGCTGTTCTTTTTCTTTTTAAATGCATCTACAGTTAGCTGCTCTGTTAGGGAAATAACAGATAGTTTTTGAGATACGTTGGATGACGTATCCTCTGATTCTGATTTGTGCAATTTAGGATCTTGAAACCAGGCAGAAAGGATTCAGGTTTCCATAACATGTTTTTTTGAGGGAGGGTGGCGAGCACTATAACATCATTTAATAGTTACATAGTAGTCATGAAGCATCAGTGAATAGTAGTCATTTGTCAATCACTAAGATCAAACTGCTAAGTATGTTCTTTGGTTCAAGTTAAATGGTGGTGTTTGCAAATTACTATCCAAAATAAACTTGGAAGGTGTGGTCAGAGTCTCCATAAGTTTAAAAGAAAGACCTTGATGCACGTTCTTGCCTGATTCAGGATTTTAATAATTTTTTTTTTTTTTTAAAGGAAGAAAAGCTTCTGAAAACACTTGTGCAGCATGGGGTCCGCAGTGGAAAAACTGCCAGTCTAGAAATGGAAGTGGATGGGCTGCCCTTCTATAACACACATTCACTTATGATTGAAAAGCTGCTGCAAGAAGTGCAGCAGTGACTGCACCCTCTGATTTTGAAGTCAGGAATTTCTCCTATGTTATTTCCTTATTCCTAATCTACTTACAAGGTAGAAAAAATCATGAAGATGGTTCTATGTCTTTAAGTACAGGATTTTTCATGTCTGGTGTCTCAGCCATGCACAACCTTTTATTATTACCCTTAAAACATCTGTGAAGCAGGAAGGGAATATGATCATGATCCATTGGTTTACCTTTGTTTTCTGTAATTTTATAATGGATAATGGATATTAAATGATATTACATACTAAGAGGTGATCTGGCTTTACAAAGAAAACTTGTCATTAAAATGAAATCTTATTGAATTGCTGTTCCTGTTTTACTAACCTCATAACTGCAACAGGAAGTAACTCTTGTAGCAACTTGGATTTAAAAATACCTTGTGGTGGAGAAAACAGTTGCAGTGAAGGAGGGAGGTTCAAAACCAAACAACAGTAAGTGTTACAGCAGTGAAAACTGTTAAATATGGTCCCTTACACACTTCTTGTAGCCCCTCCAACACTGCACTCTGTTGGTAGTGGACAGCTGCTGGATCTGTGAGGACACTGGGGAGACCTTTAACTGACCTAGTGAACATAAGGGTATCTTTGCAGAGTTTCCATGTGAAGGGTAGGCTGTACTGCTTGTCTACTTCATGTTAGTAGTTTACGATTTATAAATTTAGTCCCTTTCTAGATAATACAGAAATGCTGTAGACATTTTAGGGCATCCTATTATTAAGAATAAATGAATTAAATAAGTAAATAGTGATTAGAAATTAATTGTTAAAAATTAAAGCATGTGTAGAAACTAAAGAGCCTTGACATTCAGTATGAAATAAAATTATGGAGATGAAAGTATAGATGAATTCCAGTTATAGAAATTCAGCTGTTGATGAGATTGAATCAATACATGGCAAGCAATTATGAAATGTACCTGATTTGTGTCCTGTAAAACTGGGTTTTTATTTTAACACCAGATGAGTGTCAATGCAGAAGTTTTGTCAGTCATCAGTCCTCCCAGCAGAAAGGATGTGATACATTTTACACTGCACCTCTCAGACATGATGCCTTAGCTCTCATAGAATGATTATAATCGGTACTTAAGGACAGCATCAATCCATTGTGCTTTAAGAGGATCAGAATGGCAGTTCTGTTTAGCCACTTTTTTTCCCAAAGGGATGTGGACTTTCAGCAACTAGGAACATCGTAGATCTACTTTTCTTCTGGGCAGGTGAATTTAATGTTCTTGCCCCTACGTAAGAGGTGCATGTAACTTTTTGAGAATGAGAATAATCAGTCACGTTTCTCTTGACAATACCACCTCTACTTTGAATATTAATTTTCTGAATTCATTGAGGATGCACAGCCATTCAAGACTGACAGTAGAACATAACCTGAGAGAAAGAAATTTTAAAGCCAGACTGACTGATAGACATTCAGACTCACAAAAACTCCCTAGTGTTTATTTTAAGGCTCATTCCTTATTTTATATTAGTTTTATTCAAAACCTTCTTGAAGGAAGTTGCAGTGATGTTATCTTTGAAGTTTCTCAAATAGAAAATAACTTCTTTAGAAGTCTCCAAACTATAACTATTAAGCAACAGATTTCATATGAAGGCTTGAACTTTTTCCTAAAGCCATTAACTCCCCAGGAGTGAAGTTACCTTGACTGGTATGTAGAGCCCACAAAATGAAATTGGCATCATTTTGAAAAGCCTGTCTGGAAAAAGTGGCAGCTGATTTATTTCTGCATGGGCACGTGCACCTACATGCTCAGTAGCCTACTGACATATTACATTAACAGGTGTAATATATAGGATTCTTTCCAAATACTAATTTTTTGCCAAAATAACTTGATTTGGTAAGCTTTTGCTGTCTTCTTTCCAAAATACAGGTTTTAACAGTCAGATTTGGTTAAGAAATATAAAATGTAATAATTTATTACTATTTTTCTCTGATACGCGTTTTTTTTTAATCCCTTTTCCTGTTCCATGCCAAGGCCCTGATTTAATCTGATAGCAATGTGTAGCACATCTCTGGCTGCCATCATCAGACCTCTGCTTGACTACGTTTTGCATGAGAGGAGAGAAAAGTTCTGAGAATTGCAGCCCCTCGCACGGCAGCTAGTTCTGCAGGCTAAACCTAGCAGTTACTATGTAGGAAGGATCAATGAAATATTGACTTCATGTTTAGAAAAAAGAACCCCAGATCCTTCCTTTCCTAGTTTATAGGTTCAATGTTGAGAATTGCAGCAAAATGTTGGACTCTCGTTACACAAGCTTCCTTCTTTTGAACTGCAACAGCTGAGCTAAAGCTGACACGAGAAATATACCAACTCAAATAAATCTTAATCTATCAGATAACAATTTGACTGTAATATGGCGTGCTCTGCCTTCCGGCTGTGTAGTTTAAACAACATGGCTAACAAAAAAAAAGTAAAGCATAAACAGGGCAACAAATATTTCATCTTAGAACAAACCATACGTGTGTCTTACAGCATGTCAGATCACAGAGTCCAAGTAGTTGATGTGGCTGTCCTGGCTCCGTCCGTAACAACGCTCAAGCATGGCATTATGGCAACCTGGAACCCCTGCCTTACAGCCCAGATGATACAGAAAGGCAAAGACACTAGGGGAAGGATTAGCAGAAAGTAAAGCTAAGCAGCACTGACACTTAGAAGAAAAATGCATGTATAAGGTAATTAATTCAGCATGGTGAGTGGTCTAAGTATAAAGAAATGTAAAAGAATTAAACAAACCAAATGTTAACCTAAGCAAATGTAATCCTCTCCTGGGAGTGAGGACATGAGTCCTTTCTTCAAAAGGAGGGAGGAGAGGATCTGTAGTTTCTTAAATAGAATCTGTGGGCCAAAGCCAGAAGATAGTTATAGCAAGCGCTAGCTGAATAAACATAGGAAGAAAATAATAAAGGCATTATTTATTAAACACATCCCCTAATTATATCTAACATTGCCCTCTCAAGGTGGCTTCCAGAAAACACTTAGAATGTATTGCCTTTTAAGTATGTATTGCCTGACAAACAAGATTGTGTACAATGAGATATTTGAGATCCCAGATGCAAGTCTGTCTAGAGAATCTTTTGAAAATAAAGGGAACGGTTTTATTGCTGCACATTACCAGCTCTGGGTTGCAGAGAGAGACAGAGGTGTTTCAAAGAAGGTTTGAAACCAGAGAAGAAGCAAAATGACAAGGCAATAGTCTTGGTGTAACAGTTACAGATACAAGAATGCATAATGATCAGATGACAAGAAATGGACACGATTCCTTAGTATAATAAATAAAAATAAGAAACTAGAGAGGGGATGCTGGTAGAAGCAAGAGTATAAAGCACAACTCCCAGTTCTTTAACGGTCATTATTTTTAGTTATTCCTCTATTTTGTTTCTCTTTTCTAAACTAGAAAGCACATAGCTCATCCATACGTCATATTTTTGATGCTATACTTACTGAAAAATGACCAAACCCTAAACTATAATATCTATCAGTGAACACAGAGTTTGTACTGAATCCTTTTAACAGGTTCACTGGCAATGCGCTGTTATTTAATTGCCTGCATGGTCTGTGCTGCACGAGACATTTGGAAGGACATGATCCAAATCTTAGCAAGGTTTAGTGGAATTTAGATTTAACTGAATTTATCTTGGAATACAGTGACTCAAAGAACTGCATAGCTTAAAAGCACCTCACATTCTACCAACCTCCTGTTCTTTTTGAAGTCCATGGACTGAATTATTTTTCCCCGTCAGAGCATGATCTTAATAATCTATCTCTTGAAGTCAACAGCAGCCTTATGATGAGGTTCAACAGAGTGAGATTGAAGGTCTCAGCAGATGCTGAGTTTCTTGTGCATGCTCTTCCAGAGCATCTCACATTATTTGATCAATTATTTTAGGAGGTTAGTTCTGGCAAGGTCTCTGCAGGACTTAAAATGGGCTTGAGGAGGAATTATTTTGAAGAGTTACAGAAATGATGCACAAATGCAATTTTTTTTTTTCTTTTAAAAAATACTTATGGGGACATTTTATTTGTTCAATCTCCAACCTTTTCAACAGGTAATGACAACTTTTTGAGTTTTTTTTTTCTCTAGATGCTACAGGCACAGACAGACAGCAGTTAAAAGCTGTTTCAGCAGATCCACACCATGAGTACTAGCTTATTTCAGCCAACGCAGTCATCAACAACAGTTGAGTGGCAAGACAACAGTTTCTGAGTTGCACCATAATGGCAGTAGACATGTGATTGTAACTGAACTCTTAATTTATACTTTCCTCAATATAGTCAAGGTCCAAACACCTCCAGGAACTACCTCAGTATACTGCATAGCTAATAAGCTTTTGGGAAGTAAAATAGGTGTAATAGATGAATAAATCAGATGTGTGTACAACACAGTCACATGTGGAGATTTTGGATGAGTGGCCTTTTTTGATGAATACTATAGACTGCCTAAGTTAGTTGTAGAGGAGTCCTTTATTCCAGCAATATCATGTGATTTTTGTAATAATGCTGGCTGCTGCTCATCCTGTGGCTTGCTGAGAGTTTCTGAAGAGTTCAGCTGGTAGGTTTCCTTAGTCTCAGTCCTTAGCCATCCTAAACAGGTTAAACAAGAGTCTCGCACCTTGGCAAAGTTCTGGTAAGTGCTTTCACTGGAAAAACAGTACAACACTGGGTCAGCAACACAGTTGAAAGTAGTCAACAGGAGAGAAACATGGTAAATATTAAATATTTTCTCAGCAAATGAGCAGTTGTTCTCAAACAAGCTGCGAACTACAAGTAGGATGTGGTATGGTCCAAAGCAAACTAAAAAAATGAAAACAGTGCTTGAAACCAGTCGCTTAATTTGGATTTTCTTCTTCTTTTGAGTGCCATGACTCTTGTGGACAACTCGTAAAATTCCGCAGTAGGAAAAGGCCAGCAGAAAGAAGGGGAAAAGGAAGCCAGCAGAGAATCGGTAGTAATTGACATTGTGCTCCCAGCCTTTGATGGGGTAATGCTCAAAGCACACCAAGTGGGTCTCAGCATCCATACTGATCTCTCCATGTCTAAAGACAAACCAGCATGTCACAATTTCTTTGGCCCAGATAACACTGCTCACGATTGCAGCAGCCTTCAGTGTCCGAAACTGATGAAACCGGAAAGGGTGCACTACTGCTAGATAGCGATCAATGGAGATGCAGCAGAGGAAGCCCACGCTGATATAAATATTCTCATACAGAAGAGTGCCACAGATTTTGCACAGCAGTTCATCATAGGTCCAGTTGTCATGCTGTAAAACGTACTGAAGCCAGAAGGGCAAAGAAAAAATGTACAACAGGTCTGCTACAGTCAAGTTGCAAAGATAGATACCCAGTTCGTTTTTAGCCTTGATCTGTAGATATCCATAGTATAGTGAGAGGCAGTTTGCTGGGAAGCCTAATACAAATACAAATATGTATACCACAGGAGATAAAGTCTGGTGGATATTGTGATTAATAGTGCACCTCTCAGTTGCGTTCTCTGTGAAATTCACCATCTTCTACCTGTCACCGTATCTCACTCATCGGGGTCCCAAATGGCTCAGTGTAAACCTTAATTTCATTCAGTGTCATATATCATTTATTTCTTCCACACAACCTTTATCTTGAGGTGATGATTTGCTGAAGGATGTCAATAACCTGAGGGTAAAACACATGAAAATCTTTAGGAGGAATACCGTTGTAAAATATTTAGTGCAAGTTTCAGTAAGCTGCCTTTTCCTAGCCCTCAATTTTCTCTTGGTCTTTGATGGAAGATAAAGCCTGTCTGGGAAATCATAATTTGTGTCAGTAATTCCTAGTCCTGTGCACACATACAGTATTTTCTGTCAAAGAACTCCAAAGCAGTTTATAACCATTTATCAATTTAGCTTTACGAGTATCTGTAAGGTGAAGAAATATTATCTCTGTATACAGATGAGACACAAAAGTAGTAATTTGATTTGCCCAAGATAATGTTATTTCTCAGGCAAAATAGTCTATTCAGACTCCTTTAGAGGATGCTGCAGGGTACACAAAACCAGGTGCTCTTTAATTTCCATTTTTAAAATTTCCCTTGAGATACAAAATGCCATGGAACTTGCATTTCAAGCCATCAGGATTTTAAAAATTGAATTTTTAGCAGTCTACTTTGTACAGTTGTTTGTAAACACAATTCCAAAAGCAAGCTGTCTTTCTCTGTCTGAAAGACTCCTGTAAAAATTTGGTAAAATGTATTCACTGTTTCTATCCTGCAGTATATCCCGTTACAGATTCCTTATTTGCCATAGACTCCCAAAACCTATCTATACCTTTGTGTCTCTTCTTTTGTTTACCTGTATTGTATTTGATTATAATTATGTTCACCTAAAGAATCTATCATCCAAATACCTACCCATACAAACCTTGTCCATACCACACAATATTAATGTTTAAGACACTTACAAAAATCACTGCTGACAATAGGTTAGCAGTCAGTTTAACTAGGACAAGTCATGCTTGAGCAGGCTCATAATTATTAAACCCTAGATTTAAAAAAGTGTCTTATTCAGCATTTTAGCCTGTAATGTGGTATGTTCAGTCGCTCTGGCACAAGCGATCAGGACTGGAAAACAGCGGGGCACAGTGTGCCCCAGTCTTAGGAGGATGTATATTTTACCTGATGATGCAAAATAGTGGGACTGTAGTTCTGCCAATCGCTTCCCAGAAAATGCTCAGTTGTAATGCATACTGCTGTGAAGGTCAGCAATTTGTATACTCATCCTAAAGCTTCAGTTAATATGGATGATCAAAAGGAGACAGCATTGTCAGGGAGAAAGAAAAGGCCTTATGGCTTTTTCCTGTTTACTATCCTAATTTGTGTTTTTGTTTGTCATCTTCTTCTGCCCTGTATAATAACATACAAACTTTTCCAAGGCAACCCTTATGAAAACATGACTGCATTTACCATGGCCAACACGCTGCGGTAAAAATACTGTGATCTTCAACACTGTTGAATGTAGAGTAGAGTCATTTTTTTATAAATGTCTTTTTGGATGGTGGTAGGCTTTAGTCCCATCAAAGTTAGAAAGAAAATCACTTCCTTCAGCACAGAAAAGAATTGCCTGGCCAGAATAAATGACCAATCCTGCAAAGACATACAATGTTTAACTTCAATCAGTGTGGCATAATCCCACTGAAATCACAGCAAACTTAGGGTCACACATAAATATTTAAGAATTAGAACTTGTTTTTCATTTATTAGTTTCTCTTCTTTTTCTTGCCAACAGAAAAAAATATCAGCCATGGTTTTGCTAGAGGTCTTCTTGGGTCTTCTAGCTTTAGATAAGCTGTCTCAGATAGCTTATCTAATGTAAGCTCATCTCTCTAAAAACTTCTAACTTTATTGTCCCAAACCACTTGCATGAAAGTAGAGCACAACTGTGATAGCTCTGCTCTCCTGCTCTCATGCAGTTACTTAAGGGGATTAACAGACTCGGCCCTGCATCGTGGATGGCACAAGTTATTACAGATAAATCAAGCACAACAGGAGAAGTACTGCTAAAGGGACTCAGTCACAGATATCAATTGTTCAGCTTAAAGTTTGCTCCAGGAGATTGCCATAACCTTGCCTATAGAAGAATAATGATAATGTTAGCAGCATAGAAATGTACAGCAGGACTTAATCACCAAAGTTATGGGCAAATTTCCCAAAGGATTGTTACCTAGGAGTCGTTAGCTCCCTTTTAACATTATCCAGTGCACTGTGCTGGTCTCAGTGATGTGATAAGCATTATGCAGCTTTTCTATCCACAGGACATCTGCCTTACACCCTTCAAGAAAATGCCCAGAATCTTTCCTGAAAACGGTTTGTTAACCTAGCTAGCCCACCTTTTCTAATCTGGAGCTCCAAAGCAAGTATAATTGCATTTGAATTTGTATTTCATGCAATTTCTGCATACAACTTTGGTAACTTCAGCATATGAGGTTTGTCTATGCAGAATGACTGACACACGTAGTTATAGTCTTAAAAAACCTAAAAATCTGGGATCTACCATCTTATCTGAAATCCCTGATGTAATAACAGATACAGGAAGAACATTTAACTAAAATTGTCCAGCTTCTATTGATAATGACAAATTATAGTATTTCAAAAGCTGTCAATAATTTCAAAAAGTTGAACCTGTCTTTGCATGTCTAGCATAGTTCAACAGCTCTAAGCCTTGTTCAGTATTTCCCAGTAAGTGAATATGGATGATAGTCTGAGAAAAAGCAGATGTACTCCACCATTGCACTGTTTTTTGCAAAAATCTCCTTTTCCTCCATGAACTCAAAATGTTTTTATTAAATTATGTTTTTGTCATGGAGAATGTGATTGTAAAAATCATATCTGTTTAGCTTAAAAAGTCTTGCCAGAACACAGAATATGAAGGACACAGCAAAAGTCTTACTGATATGATATTGTTCTAATATAATATACACTTATGATTACAGCAATGTTTCCTGCTCCTGGAGGAAGTGCTGGAGTGTGCTGTTTCAGCGGGCTTGAAGACAGGGCTGGCTTTTATTAATCTCTCTGCCTTGTGGTAACAAAACCACCCTTATCCTTTCATTGTCTTACAATAGATTTCAAAGATGGGGATGAAAAACAAAGGTCCAGACTCTTGTTGGCACAATAGCTGCTTTATATTGCTCTTCTGGTCCGTGGCAGCAGTTAGCTTGGAAAATTGTTCCCTTGTTTCAGCCTCCTCAGTGTCTGGGCTCTGGGACGCCTCTGTGCCCTCTGGACCCCTCTTGCCTGACTAATAACAGTCTCAGTAGCCAAATGTGACATGGATGAGGGTAGCGTAAAAGTAGTTTACCTTTCCCTTTCTTTCCCCCCAAAACAAGTATACTAAAAATAGCTCATATGCTGGCCAGGGCATGAAACTGTACGTTTTTTCAACAAGGCTTGTATCAAAGTACTGCAATGACAGCTGGGTGCCTTAAAGGCCACCCTGTTAGTAAGAACATGATACAAAATGCCTTACAAGCTCTCTGGAAAAGTTGAAACTGAGGGAAAGGTGATGCAAGGTAGGGGAAAGAAAAGATGAATAGATCCCCTGTTACATACTGACCTAGCCTGGATAGCAGAAGTTAAAAATGAAAAACTTGCTCTGTGAAAGCCATCTGGGGTTCAGATAATCATAAAGCTGAAAGCAGTTAGGGATGGGAACACACAGGCATTCCATTTAGACAGCTTTAATATGGAAATAGTGCAGCTGTATGATTTTCAAAGCTTATGTAATACCTTTAGTATCACCTTCAGTATCTGCTCCTGTCAGCAGATTATCTTCCAGGCAAGATTTTTCTCTATCTCGCACATTTGCTTTCATCGTTTAGATGATACCCCTCTGAGCCCAACTCTTGGAAACAAATTAGAAGACTTTTGATATCCAGATGAGTTTCAAACATTCTTCTTGTTCTCAGATGAAAAATAGACCCAAGGATCTCTTGGCTTTAAATAGCTTGACGTTTTCTTGGTTTAAATGAGCCAACTTTCGTTAGTCACTGAACAGCTCAACAGGTTCTTTTCTTTACAAACTTCTTTGTACACCACCTGATGACAAAAACATCATTCCTGCCCTGCACTAGTTAAGCTGTAAGAACTCTGTGAACTGTGAAGCAGCTTGTATATGTTAAGCACTGTCTGCTCATGATGGTACAGGAAATCACTCAGAGCCACTTACAACAACAGCCTCTTCAGCTCAGACTGAGTAACAGGGCAGAGCCTGAGCAGGTTTTTTATAGTTTCAATGAACATTGCTACAATTTGCCTCATAAGAAATACACCTGCAGTTAGATCTACACGTTTTCAGCAGAACAAAAAGGGATTATGCCAAAGGACTCCTTTGTGTACACATATGCAAAAGTTATGCACACAACTTGTCTCATCCACGAGACACTCATTTCCATGGACAGGGAGGGTAACATGGTGGTGTGGCTTTATGTGACAGTAACTCTCTTGCTATTTAATCTGTCCCTGCACCTGCCATATAAGACAGACAGACAGACCTGAGTCATTCTGCTTTCATAGCATGGCCTGGACCATGCTGCATATTTTAGAACCAAAAATCCGAGACTGTTTCAGTTGAGGATTTGGTTTGGATCGTTACCAGCATTTAAATACACACTGAACTTTCCACAACACTTGAGGACTTATCAGTTTGGTTTGATTCTTTTTCACAAACCTAGAAGAATAAGGTCAAATAAAGAGGTGAGAATATGTCCAGCAGCAGAGACTTGCTGGCCCGAAACCTGAGAGAGGAGCAGGAGCAAGGGAGAGCGGCTGTGACAGCTGCATTGGGTGAGCTAGGACCTGAGAGCAGGTAAATGGCAACTGGTTACTGAGTGTTGCTTCTGCAAAAGATAATCAATTTACTTTTTTATCACTATTATAAGATATTCTTTCTGCCTCTTGTCTCCTCCATGCACTCAGGAAGGGCTTCTTCATTTCCCCAACTTACTTCTGCTCCCCAGTCTCAATGGGGCCATGCTGCATCTAAGAAAGGGGAAGGAAGGAAGAATCATTCCTTTGTACCTCCCTCCTTTCTTTCTTTCTGAAGTCTCTCCTTGTTCCTAGCCACTTGGGAAAGCTAATAGCCTTAATATAAATAATAATTTTAAAAAAGTAGAAGAAAGTGGAAATCAGGGTGCATGACTAAGGATGAGTGTGAGGAAATGACACAATAATTTCTAGATTAAATCAGAAGAATTATGATGCAAAAAGGATTACAAGTAGAAAGAACCAAAAAAGGCAATAAAAGATGTTTCTATTAACACACAAGAAAAGGAAGGTAAAAGAAGGGACAAGTATATATGAAGCAGGAGCACAAATTACAGCTAAATGTGGCTGAAATACTTGCTTTTTTTTTCAATTTTCAGAATAAAAATATGATGCATTATCTAATACAATTGTTTTAACAAAAGGATGGAGACATAGAAAAAATAGATCCATTCCATTGAGGAAAAATGCAAAATACTGTGCTTGCAAATAAAAAAAATGAAATTATCAGTATGAATTGGGGAATATTTGGCTATGCAGCAGGATGAGTAAGAATGCACTTAGATTCACACTGTCACTACTGAGAAGAAAAGAATCACAGTGGGATGCCATATTTAAGGGACATGAAGTGAGATGTCCACTTTACTCACCACTGAGGAAGCCTACCAAAGCTTTTTATGCTGTTCTGTAAGAGAGAGAGAGGCAAGAGATATAGAGGCAAAAAGTCCAAATGTTTTGGGCAACCAAACTATATAATCTCAACCTCAGTCTCCACAATTTGAAATTATATTGCTTTACAAACACAAGTTTTCTGAACATAAATTGATAGTGTTTGTGAAGTCCATTTTTTTTATGTATAGGAGTCATTTGTACAGCTGCCATAGAGAAACAGATGGACTATGGGCAATGTAAAGCATCTTTGTGAGAGAGGGAAATAATTCTAGTGAATAGGGTATTTTATACCTTTGGGATAAGTCAACATACTGCCCAGCTACCTGTAAGATGGAGATGTACCCAAGCTAGCACTGATTCCTTGCTCGGGGACCAGAAATAGCAAAGCTGCAGCAGTGTGATTAGAGAAGGAGGGCAATGTCAGGTCTGGAAGAAAACCAAGTTAATGCAGCTCTACTGCATTAACTTTCTACAATAAATTTACTCCAATTTGGCTCAAGAGTCTTAGCATGGCACGGGTTTTGTTCAGCTCAGACAGAGTCAGTATGGCCCACAAAGAGAAAAAAGTCCAATGGAAATAATGATTGCATTCATTAAAGACTGTAGCCTGACGTAGATGTGCAAGTGGGCTAAAAATTAGGTTGTGCTTTTTAATTCCTAAGCCTAGTGTATTTGACAGGGATACTTGCCTCTTTTAGTGTAACTCATTTTACGTGCACCATCAAAGAATCTTTTCAGGACATAGCATTAATTTCTCTATTCACCATACCATATATTTTTAATTGCATCAGTTTTTAAACCAACAGTATCTCAGTGTATCTGAGATTAAACATATACCA